TTGTTTGATTAATTATTTTAATTAAAAAATGTGGCAAAACTGAAAAAAATATATACATAGACTCTATTTAAGTCTTAATAAAATACAAATTAAATTATATACCAAATTTTATTAAATATACAAAATATAAATAAAAGAAATTTATGCATTTTAATTTATATATTTATTTAAATCAACATAATATCAGTTTACAAAATATTAAATATTAAGCAATTATATATTTAATACATATTATAACAATAATAATTTTAGGTCCAATTTTTATAAGCTCAAACATACTCAATTAATTCATATATTGTATAAAAATCAAATCAATCAATTATATGCATAAACTATTTGTTCAATGATTGCTAATTGTATATGTAATTGCCACTCTAATTACTATAAAAGAGAACATTAGGGTTTGAACAACCCCAAATACGCTTGAAATTTTTAAATCATCATTTTGGGGTGTTCTGAGCAAAAAACGGACAAAATTCTCCCCCCTGGAACCCCCCGCGTGAAACCCGTACAGTCCTGAAGAATCGTATGCCATCATTTTGCAACCCCTCCGGCAACTTTTTCAATTTCCAGTATTTTTTCACCCTCGTATTGGCCAGAAATCCATTCTCAGTGTCCTCCCATATAGTCGACGGCCATTTTGCTTCTCGGTAGCTGAATCGGCTGAAGGACTTTACTAATATCATCAGTTCAGAAGTCCAGGGTGATCCAGTTCGAATCCAAGTCCTGATGGCGTGGTTTTAGTCCAGTTGTTCACATAAGACTGTTTGGCCTCCAGGAGACTAGAATGAAACTGTAAGAAAATAAACGATGAGTTGTTGGATAATTAATAAAATATCAAAGACAAAATAGAAGTCGTTATGAGAACTCAAACACATGTTTTGTGAAGCAACTGAGTGGACAAGGTCGTTTAGTATCATTTGTTCGATGATGCACTCTGTAGTTCGAATTTCCTAAACGATAAAGAAGAAAATAACGTTTATTTTTCATAAAGTTCAGTACCTCGAACTAGACAAAAAACTTTCCTATTAAAAATTTTTCGATTGAGAATTGAATAGCCGAGGTCGTTAAGTAGCAAGAGCAGTTATCCAGCCCAATGGTGCTGTAGTTCGAATCTTCAGATAATAGATAAAAACTAGTTGCATTAGAATGTATAGAACAGTGCAAGTTCCAGGCGTAACAACGATATTCAATTTTCAAAAATCTTTAAATCCTCGAAATAGACAAAAGGCATTCCCATTAAAAATAGTTATTGTCAAACGACTAAATAGCCAAGAGCGTTAAGTGGTCGTCGTGGTAGTTGGATGTTCTTCGGATCGATCCCAGAAGAAGTAAATGTATGTGGATGAAAAATAACTCGTGTAAAGTTTTTCAAAACGATCAAATGTTAGTCCAAAGAAATAAATTCAGATGGCGGATTGATTAAATTTAAATAACTAGAGTTGAGCGCCTGATGCAAAGATCTTCACAAAATACTTGAAGCTGTCAAATTTCAACAGTCCTTCCTGAATTAGACAAAAGCGTTTCCAAAAAAAAATTGGTGTTCTGTATTAATCGGATAGCCGAGAGCGTTTAGTTGTCGACATCACATTGACTGGCTAAAGGTCCCTCGGATCGATTCCCAAAGACTCGGCTGAAAAATTCGAATCCTAGTTTTTCGGAATCTTCAAATATTAGTTCAAAAATTCAATTGTAGAGGGCGCATTTCGACCTTGACACTTAGAATATTTCTGAAA